CTATGGATATATTCCCCTCTCTGATCCCAGCCATATCAGTGCTCTGCCACCACTTTTGGCTTTGCCTACAATGGGCAGTTGAGGAGCCCTTCCAATAACTGAAAACCCAACAGAGCACACTTACTACATAACCAAACCTCTTGCTCCAACCCACAGGCTTGGGAGGCTGAGGATATTTTATGCAGTTAACCTGGAGACAGGGGCACCTGGTGGTGGTCTTCTAATTGGTTCCCACCCAAGGCTGGCCAGGCCCTGAGTGAAACCATTCAGGGGTATCTTTCCTGCCTGGTTGTAGACATCATCTATATGTCAACCCTGATTCAGGGCTGTGGGTTTAAACCCCAGCACTTCATCCCCTCATCCAGGTCATTGATGAAGATATTAAACAGAACAGGCCCCAGTACTGAGCCCTGTTGAACACCATCTGTGACTGGTCACCAGCTGTCAAAGGCTTTACTAAAGTCGAGGTAGGCAACACCCACAGCATTTCCCTCATCCACTAGGCAGGTCACCTTGTCATAGATCAGGTTAGTCAGGCAGGACCTGCCTTTCACAAACCCATGCTGACTGGGCTTGATCACCTGGTTGTCTCATACATGCCATGTGATGGTGCTGGAGATGATCTGCTCCATAACCTTCCCTGACAATGAGGTCAGACTGACATGCCTGTAGTTCCCCAAATCCTCCTTCTGGCCCTTCCTGTAGGCAGGTGTCACATTTGTTAACCTCCAGTTCACTGGGATCTCCCTGGGGGAGTTACTAAGGAAAGCCCCTGTATGGTGAGATCTGCCACTCTGCTGTGGGTCAGGTGAGCTCTGGAGGAACTCCCCTTGGCAACTGGCTTTTCTGTTTTGAGACTCTTCAAGATGTGTATAGATAGCACATTTGACTGAAAACATCTTATTTTATGACCATGTAATTTTAATATCTTTTTTCCTATCACTTAAACCAATAGTTAAACAAATAATGTACAGCCAATACTAAAGCTGACAAAAAAATTAAATGTTTTGAGTCTTTTCATGTGGATTTCAGACAGGATACTTTGGGTTTCCTATTTTATCCTTTTTGTCTGATACCTTTTGTCTAAAGGCATTATTTCAATTTTTCAAATGAAGTATCTGTGGGTGACTGCATTCTATCTCACCAGCACTGTTCAGTACTGCCCATGGCAGTACCTTCTGTTTCCCTTTTTTCTTCTTTACTTGTTACTCAGCACTTTTAAGGCATTGATCATCATGTGTAATGTGAATGCTACTTAGACTGTTTTGCAAAATCATAAAAATTACCAGCATTACAAGATTGTGAGTAGATAAGCTCAAGCAAGAAGATAAAGAGAATCCCCTGAAGCTCTGAGACCAGCTGAGGCCGGAGTGTGTTGTGCCACCTTTAGGCTGTGCTACCACCCATCGGCTCGGAGTGGAATGAAGCAGAGCAGCGCCGCAGAGCAAGGCCCTGCTCGGCACTGCCTGCCGCGGCCACCCCGCCCCCCGGGCCCTGCCCCCCTGGCCCTGCCCGGGTATATGGGATTTGCTTGGTAGCTGGTACAAGAATAGATTTTTTTCTTTTTAATGAAAAGTGAGGGAGTTTAAAAGTGTCATCACTTTAAAGGCTTTTTTTTTTTTTTGTAAGGGAATCTTAAAATATTTACCATTTTAAAATGTAAAGTTCTCCTTATAGCTGTAGACACAAGCTATCTTGCTCTTCTTTCTCATTCTGGAAGGGGTTTCACTCGGGACCACTCTCTACAGCTCAGGATCTTAGTATCTGGGAACAGTTCCTGTGCAGGACAGAATCCAAATTAATCTTTCTACTGATTTCTTAATATTGCAGGTAAAACTTCTTATCTTGAAGGTTACTGTCAGCAGAAGTAATGAACTGCTATGGTTTTTGACAGTGACAGTGTAATCCAGTGCACCTTTAAACAATTTATTATTTGGTCAGACAAATAATGTTTTTCTCTTTTCGCATCAGTGATGTGCATCCTCCTGTAACTTCTGTAGGCTCTATAGCACATGCAGAGCCTCAAGAGTGGAGCAAAAATTTGCTCCAGAGTAGAACAAAATGTGTAGGTCCAAAAATTATTAACTATAAATATCAATCTTTATGTGCCTATGTATAGTAGGTGTAGTGTAGCATACAATTAAAGATACACCTTACAGTAAACAGCTACCTTTTTGTAAGCTGCAGTGTTAGTTTCAGTTAGACACTTGCCTAGAATGTACCTAACTATAAGAACATAAAAACTTCAAACATTATCTCTGCTAGGATAACTTCATAAATTTTGCTTCATGTCACAGAATAAAACTAAGATTTTAGTGTAGACTTTTTTGTTGATATTAAGCATTAGCTCATTTCACACTTGATGACCAACCTTGAACAAGCTGCTCATTAATTGTAATGTCTGGCTTCACATCAGTCCTAGGTGAAGAGCTTCATGTTAAAAACAGGTAATTCAGTGCCATTGTTACTGGCTTTGTATCTCGGAAGCCAAGTAAGAAAGATAAACATCGTACAGAGAAAGATGCAAGTACAGCTTACTGGGTACATGAACATTGGCATCAGTGGACCTTAAGATGTAGATTTTATTTGCAGCTGGCAAAAATACTATTTAGCCTAATTAATAATATGGTTATTACTGGTTTTACACTTGTTATGTACATATATAATATGGTTATTACTGGTTTTACACTAACACAAGGCAACGGCTGCAGGTGGAATAAAGGAATAGCCTGAGTCTGTCTTTACTGAGTGTGAACATTTGGGATTTCTTTATGCTGTTCCTGCTTGGTGAGACTGGCCATGAATGAGCAGACAGCTGAGGCAGTACAAATTCAACAGCAGAACGCAGGGGTGGATCTTGTCAATATTATGAGAATGCTTTAGTTTCACAACTTTTCTAGATTATAGTTCACAGATGAACTCTGACCCTGATATTCTGTACCACGCTTTTACAAAGCCAGAATTTATTGTCTGTACTTTTATAACATTTCCTTAATAATTCTGTCCATTATTTTCAGGAATATTCTGGAGCATTTCCAACAGAATCATATGAGCAATAGGAATTGCATGATTTTTGTTTGTGGTGTTTTGAAGATGTAACTTAAATTTTCCATACAACAGTTTAACATAAATGCCCACTTCAGGATATGTGAATTTCTTCTCTTGAAATGAACATTGAAACATGAATGTCAATGTTTCAATGAAAACATGAACATGAAATTCTCAGCTGTATAAGCTTGCTGAGAACTATTATTTTAATATTTTAGATTCTATCATCTGTTTAAAATTAACTGAATTTTAGATCCATGCAGCAGAGGGCAAAGTTGCTACTGGAGCAGCTGATTCATTTCATTCCAAAGCTGTTCTAAAATTAATTTAAATTTTTTGTAATGTCAGTATTAGTGTGTTTAAGAGTATTTGGATGTTGCTACACTAAGTTATAGGCACATCATTTCATTAGATTTCACTGAGGAGTGATTAAGCCTCTAAGGGTTATTTATGCATGTGTTATGTGGTACTGAAAAGATACCACACCTTTTGGAAATACAACTGTCGCTGCAGTGGAACATCTAAATAGTGAAATATGAAAGCAGGGAGTATGGGAGGTGGGGGGGACCCTTTTCAATACGAAATGTCTGTTCCTTTCTGCATGTATACATATCATTATTTTTCTAGACTCCATGTTAGAATTCAGGTAAGTTTCACATTAAAACTGCTTTTGGAGTCTGCTAATTTTGACTCCACAATCTTTTATTTTTTCTTAAATGCTGCTCCAGATACTGTTTAGAAACTGTTCCCTGCTGCTATTGGGAGACAGAACTATAATTTTCAAAGCTTTATCTATTAATATATAAAACTTGCATATCTTTTTCTGGGCTTGCAGCACAAAAGCAGCAGCCATGGTGTAGTTTCTCTAACGCATTCCTTATATCTCTGAAATTTAAATTTTGGACATTTGTAGTGAATTCTATTGGCAGCAAACCAGCAGTGGTAAACATGTTGTTCAGAGGAATACAACAATTTATGATTAACACCCACTACGTATTACATGAGGCTTTATGCAAAAAGGTTCTCCGACCAACAGTGGAGTTGAAACTGTCAGCTGAAAGGCAAGACCAAAACAGAGATTAGAGAGCTATTAGTTTATTGAGAAGATACTCACACTGCCATCAGCACAGGGAGCCCCAGTAACCACACGGAGGGAAGAGCAGAGTCTGCTCAGGCACCCGACAGGCTCCACCCAGGGACACCACTGCCTAAACATACTTCTTCTTCTTGACAACAGGTTTTATATATATATATATGTATATATACACACACACCATGCCCACCTGGTTAGACATCAAACAATACACCGTTGCAATAACTAGAAGCTCAGGTCCCTGTCACCTGAGGATCATCAGTGGGGGCAGGATGTTTGCTTTGTGAACTGGGACGAGATCATGTGCATCGAGCCGTGTCCTTGACTCCTTGCCAGTCTTCCAAGTCCTCCCCTTGCAACCTGGACATCCCAACGTGGTGCACTCTTCTGTACAGACTGCAGGGACCATGTTCCAAAACTTGAGAGCAGACAATTTTATGCATAGTTTTTCTTTCACCTCAATCAGTACATCAGAAAAAAACAAAACAAAACAATGGCCTTGTGGTATAGCTATTTACACTTGCAGCAGCACAGATATTTATGTGTTAAAAGATTTATATATAAAAGTATGTTTCCTATTATTTCCCTATTAAAAAAAAAAATCTAATGCATAAGTATTTGTAAGTTCCTTCCCCAAAATAATCTGAAAATTTATACTGTGTTTTAGGAAGACTTTTGAAATAATGTACACAAACAAAGATTACCTGAAAATACTGCCTGAGGGAAGACAACAAGAATCAGAATGGCAATATGCCATTAATAATGTTCAGAAATGCAGCTACTCTGAGGTTAGCATTTCTTTTGTTCACTTGGCTGTCTCTGTTCTGGCTGACTTGTATCAATCCCAAATCAAAAATCATCAATGAGGTGCTTCGTTAACACACGGGAAATAGTCTTCAGTCTTGAAGAGGACTGGAGGTTCATAGAGAGTCTGTTGTCGTGAGGAAGATTTCTGCAAATGAGAGAAGTTTATTTTTTGCCTTCTTAAAAGTGGAAGCTTTAAAACAAAGCCTACAGAGCTAAAATGCAAAATAGAAAAGTTTTAAAGGCCTATCTCCTTAGTCAGGTGAGGTTTTAATCATAGCTCAGATGTGTCTGGCATATTTTTAATGATACTGAAGAAAAGCAGCACTCAACCTTTGCCATTCTATGTCCTGAACAGACTCAGTTCTGGAAAGTGGGCTTTCCAGGCCAGCTCTGCAGGAGCCGAGCAGGTAATCTTGTCCAGCTGATGGTATAGTCACTGTAACCTTCATCCTTCCAAAGCTGCGTACCTTTACCTTTCCTGTTCCAGCCTTCGACTTCTCCCCAGCAGCTTAATTTGAGTTCACCCTAGCCTGTGTTCTCCTGTCCTTAGTTAAAGAAGTCTTCATACAGAAACACACCTAGCAGACATTTCTTCCAAGAAGGTTGCTGCTCCTGCTGAGCTTCTTCATCAAGTGTATGTTATAGTATACATTCTGTATGTTATAGATTTTGATGAACTATTTTGGAGAGCTCAGTCAGTTTGCCTGCAGTTTTTCAGGTTCTTTTTTGCCTGTCTGGGATGAGGAAATCACAGTTTTCACCCACAATGAGGTTAAAAGCATACCAAATATCATTAGGATACTTGGACTCTGGAATGCTTTAGTACCAAAATGAGGATGTAATTAAGGACACCTAAAGAACAGGTAAGTGGAATTTTTCCAGTGTTCAGTTGAGCTGTATACTTCTTCTTCATTTGAAACACGTACATATTCCCCTGTTATATTCAAAATTGCTGATTTATGACATTTAAATTACATTTGTCTTTAACTTTACAATACATGAATTTCTCTGAAATAAATTTATTTTGCCACTCCAGTTCTAATGAAATACAAAAATAGAAACAGAGATCGTATCTATAAATAGTGGATCTATACATAGTGGATCTATAAATAGCATTATCAATGTTCTCCCTATCAGAAATTTTGCCAAATGTGAAAACAATCTTTGAAATCAAAGTTCTGGTTTAGAAAATTAATTTCCTATTCTGTACTGCCCTATGAGAAAACACCTTACAAGCAAGGGAGACTAAGGTCACAGGTACTCTTCAGTTAAGAGGCAGTGTATTTGCACACGTGCAAGAAGGGGCAGTTTCAATCCAGCCCACAAACTCGTAGGCAGGCACAGCACCCATGGCTGCCTAAGGACACATTTATGATTAGTTATTTTTGCAGCTGCATAGCAGACAGTTTTACCTTTCAAGAGAGTCTACATCCTTAGTGATATTATAAGTCTTACAGTACTGTACTTTACACTGCCTGGTATTCACAAGGGAAGAATTTGGGGTGAAATCTGAAAGTGAGATTACAAATCCATAGCTTGAGAAATACAAAGTATATCCTTTGTGTAAAAAACAGATACATTTTAAATGCTAAGAGAGGGAGGGGACTTGACTAAATTCAAACTGTAGCAGGGAATAGTGAATTACAGCTACACTGAAAACCATGACATGAGTGTATCCTTCTTTTCCAAACCATTAATATACTGAGTGAGTTAGGCACAAGGACAAATCTCTACAGGCTTTTTCATTTGGACATGCTTATGTTTCCTACTGAAGATAGACATTTTACTATGCAACAGTCAGTAACACTGTGGAAGAGTGACCTGCCATTTTAGTTAATCAATTAATGCCAGTAAGTTGATTTTATGGCTATCCATACTCAGACTAAGAGTCCACTGGACATGCCAGGTTCCATTTGATAATACTTATTCCACCTTATTAATTGTGGAAAAACTGCTAAGTTGACAAAATGTTCCAATACAACACTAAAAAAGAACTTCCTTAGAACTTTAAAATTTTTCAGCTGAAGACTGTAAGTTTCATGGTTGACAAATGTTTTTAGCAACAAAATTGAAAATACTGTTGAATACTGTTCAAGGGAACTGCTGCAGTTGTTTGGTTTTGTTACTGGCCCATAAATAGCAGCTTTGTGTTGTTGTTTGTTTGTTTGGGTTTTTTTTTTCCAAAGAAAAAATGACATCATTCTAAACTTAAAAAACAAAGAAAATGAAGGAATGAGAAGTTAAATGACTTTGAGACTGCACAGAAAACAGCACTGAAGACCAGGTTTCCTGAACTGAGTCTTAACAAGACAATACACACTCTTTTCACATCTATTTTTCCCTACTGCCACACGTGCTTGCAATATGTAAGAACACAAATACCTCCAACAGCCACAACCATCTTCCTCTCTCCCTCTGCAAGCCTACTTTATTTCAGCATTCTCACCAGCATTATGATGCAGAAACCTGAATTAGTGCAGGACAAATACAGGAAAAGATAAAAGAAATCTGGGAGCTACGAAGACACAAGGAGGAGTACTTCTAAATGCTGTCCTGGCAGCTGATGCTAAGAAGCATTACGTGTTTAGAAGTCTTTTTTTGTTTGTTTGTTATGGTTTGTTTTTTTTAACACAAGTTTATTTTAAAACTCAGGCACAATGCCAGTTGCAGGTTAGGTAAGGCATCTCTTTGAAACCTACCAGAGCACTTCAAGTCTTCTGTGGAGAAACAGTCCACAGGTAGTAACAAGGAAAGATAAAGAAAATCACTTCCTTAGAAACCTTAACAAGGTGCTTACGTGATTACTGAGTTGTGTGGATTGATTACAAATAGGACCTTTATTTTAAAAACATTGTGCAGTGTAACCTTCGCTTCCTTTTTTGGTAACACTTTTGCAATGATACTATGAATGCAGTATGATCCTTCAGCAGTGTTGTCTGTTCATGCTTTTCCTACTTGCTTTGCATACCAACAGAGATCAAAAGTGGTTTAATATAAAGGCTTGTGCCTTACGTGCTCGTTTGTGCCCTTTATGTTCCCTTCATTCTGCATTCAGCCTTATTCTGTAAAGCCACATAAATCCTTGTGAGAATTTGTGATTTTTACATTTGGGTTGTTTTTTTTTTTAATTAAGCCCGTGAATTTTGCAAAAATCCTAATAAACTATATGAAAGTTTTACAGTTAAATTCAGGTGTATCTGGAACAAACTTATTATTTTTTAATCATTCACTCTGGGAATCACAGCAGCTAAGGTGGTCAGATGGTAACAGAAGTTTACTTACATTAAGGAAGGATGGTATGCTGATTGTGTGCAAGAATTTCTTGAAGGTGCTTGGAAAAGCTCCAAGGTCTGTTTCTGCCTTTACAACCCGTTCTTCCAGTCCAGCTACACTATTTCCAATCATCTTCACAAGTGCCTAGTGGGGGGGAAAAAAACAAAAAAAAACAAAAACAAAACAAAACACAAAAGAAATCCAACTTCCCCATTAACAAATTAAAACAGAATTATGTGTTGCAGGACAGTGGTGAAAGTTCCATTACTTAAATGAGAAAAAAATCAAACACTCCATGCTCTATTTCCCTTCCACCTCCAACTCCATTTTATTGCTAAAAACTACTCCAGCTACTTAAAAGGCTGTAAAACCAGGTTAAATCTAATAAAACAATCAGTCACCTTTTTCCTATCTGCCTTTCAAACAACTCGTTTAGACTTCTATCTGCCTTTCTATTAAAAGTGAGACCAAGGACCTGAACAACAGTTTTGAAAGCTTTACCAAGGATCAATAGACCTCTCATTCTACTAGCCTCTGAATAGCTCTCAAGGAAGTAACTTTCAAAGATACTATACAAAAAAAAAAAGTGGTACTACTGCGTTCCAAAAAAAAGATGTCTGCCTTGCTTCAAGCAGTAAATTAAAAAAAAATATTATAAAGAAGCCATTTTGTCCTAGAAAGCCCAGTCTCCAGAAATTCTTAATAAATTGTGTTCTTTTTATTAACTCTGCTCAGACTGGATGTGGAGAGCAAAACTGACCTGAGCCCACCCTGTGCACGTACATGCACACACACACAGTTACAGCATGTTGCTAATCCTTCTCCTCATTAAGAAATGGAATACATCTAGAAGACACCAAATACATACCTCTAACTTGTCAATCTTCCTGTAGATCTGTCTCATTTCTGTAGCTTTTGTGTAAATCTGAGGTATACTTTCATTGACAACTTGAGAGGAATCACTTCGAATCTAAAGATGATTCAAAGAAACAACACAAAAATCAGTGAATAAACTCAAACATTTAGTAGTTTTACTTCTCAAAACTAGAACTGTGCTCCAATTAAGAGACTAAAACTCACAGTTTAACAATATCAGATTAGTCTTAGTATTAAAATACTAGATGCAAACTAATAAGCTAGCTTCTCTGTATAGTTTAGTGTCTGAACAAAATTTATTTTGCATAGGCAAATATTTACCTCTTTAATTGTATTAAAAGTAGGCTATTGCAGCCTTATTACAACTAAGAGGTGGAACATTTCCCAAGACATACTAAAGAATTAAATATATTAAACTAAAGTTGTGACTTGTATTTTACTACCTGTGCATTTCCCCATCTTTGCTAAAAAAGTCAGGCTACAAAATCTTCTTTTATTGGTATTAAAAAAAGTAAAGCTCCCCTCAGAGCTGTGCAGAGAACCCTGGGTGCTACACTTTTAAAGATGGCCTGTATACCAACCAGTGCCAGCTTATAGGGACCTTCCACTCAGTTTCTCCATCTCCTCCCACGTGAAAGTGAAAACAAAGCTGCCTTTCTAGTGAAAGGGTCCCCTAAAGACAAATCTAGCTTTGGAGGTCTGGCAACTCTGGTTAGATACTTTGATTACAAAAACCACAGAGGATGTCTTTATGTGTTTTAAAGGAGAAGCAGAACATCATACTGTTCATTTAAACATTTGTCATTGCACTATTCAAAATGGGATTCTTTGTATATACATGGACAAATATACAAATACAATTAAATAAACAGGCAGTTATATAGCTATACAGGTATATTTTTGTTCCTACATTGAAGTTTGGTAGTTTTAATCTATGGGTGATCTAATTATAAAATTATGTAGTTATCAAATGTGCTTTCCGACTGGAATCTGACTCAACCAAAGGCAGCTTCCTATCTCTGTTTCACTTAAAAACACAAGAACATATTAAACTGTGTTCTGACTTCAAAAAATGCAGCTATATGCAAGTTACACATACCATGTCCAGCATTCCCACAAATTCATCCACTCTGGTCAGCAAATCTTCTAGGCTCTTGTCTAAGCTTTCTATCTGCAAAATAAAACCACTTTAAATATGCCTGAAAACACCCCCCACCACCACCCCAGGTCCTCCCACACAAAACCTCTGAGTACAGCCATCAGTCAGATGAAACCCAGGGTAACAGAAGCCCCACCTCTAAGCGCAGGTGACCAGTCACACTGGTATGTAGAGTTACGGAATGGTTTGGGTTGGAAGGGCCCTTTTAAAGTTATCCGGTCCACCCCTCCTTCAGTGAGCAGGGACATCTGCAAGTAGCAGGGTGCTCACAGCCCTGTCCCACCTGACCTGGAATGCTTCCAGGGATGGGGCTTCTACCACCTCTCTGGGCAACCTGGGCCAGTGTTTCACCACCCTCATCATTAAAAAAATCTCATGTTATTATCCCTATATCTAAATCTATGCTCTTTCAGTGTAAAGCCGCCACCTCTCGTCCTACCTGCCATGTACCTACACCCCTTGTCCTACCTGCCCTCGTAGAAAGTCTCTTCCCACCTCCTTGCAGGCTCCCCTTAGACACCGGGATAACGCCCCCCTGGGCC